GTATATATATATATATATATATATATATATATATATATATCAAAAGTTCATGTAACAGCTAGTTGAATAAGTTTGATATTTTATAACATGAAACATCAGTCTGGATACGCGTCAGTATAGATATAGCCAGCGTCAGTAGCTACGCGTCAGTATAGATATAGCCAGCGTCAGTAGATACGCGTCAGTATAGATATAGCCAGCGTCAGTAACTACGCGTCAGTGTAGACATATAGGCAGCGTCAGTAGATACGCGTCAGTACATAGACGTACATAGGCACGAGTGCATTTGAATATTGTCACGCAACGTCGCCTACAATCAAAAAAAATCGAAGCCTCTGGCAATTGCGACGTGCGGAGAATAGGGTGAGGTCGATGTTGTTTGCTCTCCCTCACCTTTTCATTGTAGCTGTCGGCCCACAGTGCGCTAACAGATCGACGTTTTGCGCCATCACTACACTGTCAACAGTGTTGCCCATTTTAAAACAGTATTTGACACGTTAAATTTCTCTGCGCGTCGCTAGGTTTTGCATCGTAAAATGAATATTTTATGCACGTTATTTTATACGCGTGTTTACAAGTGGCAAGGGGGAATAATGATGGTATTATAGAGTCGGCAGGAAAACTAATTCTCTTTTATCTCCCACCTAAGGTAAGCCTGACTGAATTTATATGGGTGTACGTACAGGGCGCATGATCGCAGCTGTTGTGATGCAGTACAAAGGCATCCGTTATAAGGTTCTATTGTAATTTGCAGTGGTAAACTCAGAAGGGAGAATTATTATAACGGTAGGCATACTTTGTCTTTAAAAAGTTCTGTTTCGGCAAAAATTTAATAAAGTACCTGTCAGTATAGACATAGCCAGCGTCAGTAGCTACGCGTCAGTATAGATATAGCCAGCGTCAGTAGCGTAGCTACTGACGCTGGCTATGTCTATACTGACGCGTATCTACTGACGCTGGCTATATCTATACTGACGCGTAGCTACTGACGCTGGCTATGTCTATACTGACGCGTAGCTACTGACGCTGGCTATGTCTATACTGACGCGTAGCTACTGACGCTGGCTATATCTATACTGACGCTGGCTATGTCTATACTGACGCGTAGCTACTGACGCTGGCTATATCTATACTGACGCGTAGTTACTGACGCTGGCTATGTCTATACTGACGCGTAGCTACTGACGCTGGCTATATCTATACTGACGCGTAGTTACTGACG